CTTCAAGAGCACGACCAATTGGTCATCCTCACATGCAATGAGATTACCTCTCCCTTGATTGAGCGGTGGATTAAAGACCATTGAACCTGACCGATTATCGAGATGGGATTTAAATCCTCTACTATCATGAATGACCAAACATCGTTCGAAGCACGTTGGGTGCACCTCGTGCACCAGTTCCTTCAACTTTCCTTGATTTGAATTGGTTGATGTCCGTCATACACCCATTCTTCAAATTTCCTCAACAAATTGTTGATACTTGAGATCTTCACGTATAGATCTGATGCTCTGAAACCATTAGCACCATCATGACAACCTCTTCCTACTCCTCTAGTAGCCATCATGCAAACTTACAGTGTCTCAGGTTATTTAGCCACGAGCCTGCTTTGATACCAATTAATGCAGAGAAAAGGACGTTTTGGTGATGCCAAACAAATTCACCATACCCCTTTATTTTCACAATAAAATAAAGGAAAAATATCTCTATATCTCCTATTTTTAGGTTTCATTTGACAATAGACCCAAGGTTTTAAAAGATATCTTGGGGCATAAAAATTGTAGATTTTATTTCTTTTAACCCCCTGAGCTAATTTAAACATGTTTTTTTAGGCAAAACAAATCTAAAAAGACATGCTTTTTCTAAAAGCCATCCTCCCAAACTTCTAGAGAGAGAGAATGGCTTCATGGAGGTGAAAGGTTATCGGGAGGAGAGAGAGAGTGAGAGAGACACAGGAAGAGAGAGAAAAAGAGAAGCTTGGGGTATATAAGTGAAGAGAGAAAGGATTGGGTTTCGGAAATAGCATGTCTTTCTCACATTTGTTTAGGTTAAAAAATAGGTTTAAAGTAGTCAGGGGGTTAGAAGATATCTTTTGAAACCTTGGGTTTATCAAGAAATGAAACCTAAAAATAGGGGATATGGAGATATTTTCCCCAAAATAAATTCAAATAATATATACTACATATTTATAGGCCTCTCTTGGCATATTACAGCACAGTTGATCAGTGCAAAATAAATGGTGGTGGCTGGAAATGAATAACAACTGAAAAAAATGACTATTTTGCTCCAGTAACTTTCTCTCTATTCAAAACGCTTAACCTTCAAAAAACCTCCTGTGACTTTCTCTCTATACCTTGCTAGGCGGAAACTTGCCACATATAATCTACTTCGGTGCAAAGCTTGAAATAACCACTCTTATCTTCTCTCTTTACAAATTCAAAGCCCAGAAACCACAAATCATGTGTTTTTCTATAGAAAGCACAATAAAAAACCAGAAACTATTTATTTTTCTATAGACTCACAATCAACCAATACCATGAATCTGCGATCTATAATATCATGTCCATAATCCTCATTAACATGCAGTTTTCAAATATCTTATGTGTCTATCAAATACTTGCAGTGTTGCTGTTGCAAATGCCTTTGCCACGTAAGGAATTTTAGTTCTTGTTATCCATGATGCTTCATATTTGTAGGTTCTGATGTTACTGGAATTTCCATATGATATACCAGTAATTAGAGTGTTTTTCCCCATCGATCAAGTTCCTATATTTTTAGAGCTCATTTTTAAGCTCTTCAAGTGGAGAAAGATTGGATGCACTTACTGGTTGATGCTTGGAATATTGTATTTCTTGAACTGTTGCTCAATAAAAGTTGAAGATACATTGGGAAGGTTTTCACTGTTTTTGGAATGGGATTTAGGGTTTTGGTGGATTTTTAAGGCTATTTTTCCTCTCTGTTTGATTCCCTAAAATTCTGAATATGAACAAAAAGGGATTTGAAACCACCTGTTATGATATGAGCTTTTCATTCATAGAGTGAACTCTTTTTATTCTGATAGCCTTCACTAAAATGCACAAGTATTTTCTAGTGCAAACAAATGATGTTAGCAGGAACAAAAATACTTGATTACAGAAGCAATGCCTAAAATCATGGAAACGAAACATGAGAAACCCCATTGAGAAAGCAGAACCCAACTGCGAATATAAACCCAGACCCAACTTTTGGTGGGGCCATCCAACATACATATTCAATCAACCAAAAAACAAAAGGAAAAAAATGATATTGAGTGCCTCCCAAATATTGTATATACAATGGCAGAAGTTTTCCTTCATAATCACTAAACCCGTTTCTCACAACTTGAAAGCTCTCAAAAGAATCAATCATCAAATCCAAGATCTCTACAATCGAACAGCTCTCAATTATTCATCTGGTTTGCTAAGATGTTACCTCTCCAAATTGTTCCTAGATGCCTGTTTCTTACCCTTCTTATTTTTGGCCTTGTTAGCCTTCATTTTCTATTCTTCTTATCTGCATCCACCCAAGTGTAATCTGAGGGTATATGAAAAGGGTCAGTATCATCCCTAATATGGATTTTGGAGCATTGAGCTTCACTCGATTGACCTTGACTTCGCCTCATCGATGATACCCATGAGCTGGATAGTAGGCTTGCTAGCTCATTATCTTTGGTTTTGGAGTCCTGAAAATGTGCAGGGCTCGAAAGTGGGTTGGAGAGCTCTTCTATAGGAATGGCAACCTTAGGCCCTGGAATTTCTTTCTCTCAGGGATACTTCGTTTTGGACGTATGATTATGGGTCCTCAGTTCTTCTTCTTGGGTATGGTTCAGGTTGGAAGTGTGGTTATGGGCCAATTCTCAACCTGTAGAGAGAGAAGGGTGCCCTCCCTTAACATAGAGAGTGGAGCTCAACTAAGAGAGCAAAGTCGATCTGCATCGCATCCCATCATTCTTTCTCTCTCTATTCTCTCTCTTAACTCTCTCTCTCTCTCTCTCTCTCTCTCTCTTTGAAGTGAAAGTGTGGGAAAAGTTTAGTGGAGGTTGTTGAACGGTAAACTTTTCATTTTCTCACATGTCATAACTATCCTTTGTTTGGCTCGGTCCAACTTTTATTTGACTTCCCAAATCCATGCGACATATATATCAATACGTTTAGTTGTATAGTTAATTGGGTTTACATTTTGGTAAACCTTTCTATGTGGTGCCATCCACATATGAAACATATGTAACTCCTATTCTCAGTCGTCTGATATGGATGACTGGGATAGCTTTAATTAGAATGTCGCGCCTACCATTGTTTACTTTTTTGTCCTTTTCTATTTATTCTTTTTCGATATAATTATCTTGAGATGAAATTTGAGGTGTTTCCCATCTCACTGGGGTGCACCTAATAAAATAGTAAAAAACATTTTCAATAATAAAAAAGACCAAAGTACTCCTGTAAGCTACATAGGTATTTTGGTCTTTTTTATTATTAAAAATATTCTTTTAATATTTTTATTAGGCTTGGTCCAATGAGAAAGAGGAACATGCCAAATTTCATCGCAAAATGATTTGTAGAAGAATGATTAAATTTCAAGTACTTGACGTCGTCCTATCAATATCTGGCAATTAGAGGCGAATATGTGACATTATGATTGACGTTATCCTAACCATCTATTCAAATCTAACAGCTGAGAATTGCCGTCACTTGTATTTTTTATGTGGGTGGATTCGCATGGAAGGGTTCCCCAAGTACATCATCATCATCAGCATCATCAACGCCTTTTCCTAGCTATTTGGGAGTCGGCTACAGGAATCCTAGTCTGCCATTCTACTCTATCAAGTGCTATATCTTTAGTGAGGCCATAAGTCCCTATATCTTTTCTCACTACTTCCAATTATATCCTTTTCTCCTACCCCTTGCCCCCTTCCACTTTACCGGCTTGTGCCTCCTAACAGGTATTGTACTGGGTCTGCATTGCTCATGGTCAGCCCATTTAAGTTTACTTTCTTTCATCTTAGTGCCTATTGGAGCTACACCTAAGTTCTCGCGAATGTATTCATCTTGAATTCTATCCCCAAGTACAAATTGGATAAATTTCATTTATTGTAAAAACCCCACAAGTAATTCCCCCTTGACAAAGAAAATAATGATGCCGACAACTTTCCCAAACCACCCCTAAATTCTACTAAAGAGAAGTCTCTAAAAATAGGCCCTAAAAATCTAAAAATTATATACCTGAAATTTAATAAAAACATTAAAAATACAAACCAGCGTGTCTTGCATCATGAGGCGTTTCCCTCTTTTTTGTCAACCGGGCTCAACCTAAATTGAGGTTGCAGCCCTTTGGTGAGCTCAAAAATCTAGCCGTGTAAATTTTTTATGCTGTTATAGAGATTGTATGGATTCAATACAATTTAATGGATAAGGGAGTGAGGCTCCAGGGTGGTGAACTTGTTCAAGGTTTATTTCCTGCTGTTTGAATCAAGTGGCTTGTTGGTTGCATTTATCATGGGCAAGAGGAGGTGCGTCAGTCGGCAGATAGGTGGAAATCTATTTTTAGAGGCTTTTTGTATTTTGCATGGTCGTTAGGTCGAGGTGCTACATAAGTCTCTTTAGGCTCTCTAATTCTTTATTTTTTCTTTTCTCATCAAGGACAATGCTCATGGGTAAATACATCATCAACAGCAGCTGCATTGAACAATTAGGTGGCATATTCTTTTCTCATCAATCACGATGCTCATGGAGAAATGCATCATTAATAGGGGCTACAATGAACATTCGGAGACATATTATGAATAAGGTTCCATTTGGTTCTCAGAAAATTAACTGTGTCAAATTATGAATAACAACTGCTACATAACCCAGTAAATAAGTTCTCACTGGGAAAGGATTTACAAAGCACGCCTCCTTATGACTCTTGTGATGTATACCTAAGATCATGAAAAAGAATAATGTGAAAAATATACTTACTGAAGAGTGAAGACTAGAAAGAATCAATCAATATAGAAATAAAAAGATATTAAGATTACTGTGCAAGCTAGGCGAAGATCGGGTATCCAAATTCACAGTCCATAGCCACTGTTTTGTTATTGTCAATGGGCCATACAGGATATTATGTTAAACTTAGGGGTTGCTTCTATCTGCCTCAGATCCAAAAATTTTTCATTTCTCGTAAAATCCCCAGTGAGTGAAAGATTTGATTTAAAAAGCTCACTCTTCTACTTATATACTATATCCATATTCACTCTTTGTAATGTTGTTTTGGGTTTTTAACTTTACATTGTTTCCTCAGGAATGATTAATCATCTTAAAATAGTGAGGACAGTAAACAACAGATTGCCATATTTATCATTTGGATGCTGCTAATTGGCATTCATATGTGTTGTCATGTGGTAAAAATCACCTTTTGTATTGTTATTCCCCTTAGTAAGGTGTTATTTGGTGCTGCATGCTTAATGAATTTTTAAACTTTTATTTCCTTATGGATCCATATTTGATCAAAATATCTTGCATTTATATACACTAGGGGCAGCTGTAATTATATTAGAGGCATTTGTCTCATCATTAATTTCTTTAATATCTTCTTATGCTTAGGTATACAGCAGTGGTGGTGACTCCAACTCATGCGTCACAATGGAAGAAAGGGAAAATGTGGAGGGGAGTGTGCCTACTAATCCCTCTCAGCTCTCTCCATCATCTTATGTGGAGAAACCATCTTCCGCATCAGAAACAGTGAACCCCCCATTGGTCAATATAGACATTGAGGATCAGAACTCAATGTTAAAACAATCTGTATTAGAGATATCAGCTTCACAAGCTCCCTCTGGTCCAGATTCAGTGGTGTCAAAGCCAAGTACAGAGGTTCTTGAGCAAGAAGTTAAGGATGCCAAAACTACTCAATCAAGTGTACATAGTGTTTTATTGCCCCATCCCTTGGACAGTGAAAAAACAGAGGCAAAGAATCGGAACACAGATTCTTTTTCTTCACAAGCTCCCTCTGGTCCAGATTCAGTTGTGTCAAAGCCCAGTGCAGAGGTTCTTGAGCAAGAAGTCGAGGATGCCAAAACTACTCAATCAAGTGTACATAGCATTTTATTGCCCCATCCCTTGGACAGTGAAAGAACAGAGGCAAAGAATTGGAACACAGATATAAAAGTGTCTGTATTAGAGGTATCAGCTTCAAGTGCTTCCTTGGAATCAGATTCAGTTGTTTCGAAGCCAAAATTAGAGGAATCAAAACAAGCAGTTGAGGATGCCAGAACTCGAGAATCACTTGTACATGATAGCTCATTACCCCATTCCTTGGATGATAAAAGTGATGAGACCAGCGAAATTTCAGTTCAGCTTGGAAAGGATGATGGCAAGCTTCATATTGATGGTGTTATAAGTATTGATATTTCCAATGATACAAGTGCCACCAAGGATTCTGTGCATACAGTGTCTGGTCAGCCTTTGGCAGATGTGTCTGTCATAAAGAATCAAATACAAGAGCACACTACTCTGCCCTCTGAGAATGTAAAACAGAGTGATCAAGTTTTGTACAGAGGCCTTGTTGATACCCGAGCTCCCTTTGAATCTGTGAAAGAGGCCGTCACCATGTTTGGAGGAATCATCGATTGGAAGGCCCATAAGATTCAGACCATGGAGGTACGTGTTCTCTCTCTTTTGTTTGTAGTTTATTGTAAGGAAGAGCATGTTATAGCCTTGTGGACTATGGAAAAGCATAGTCCATTGGGCTTATGACCATTTGATGAAATGATGGAAGTGATGAAGAGATGGTGATATGCACTATTGGGGTTAAGTCCTCTTCTGGTGAGTCCCCCTTTCTCCATCGCTGACCGTCTTTTCATCAGATAGTCATAATGCAAGCGGAAACATGGTTTTCATACTCCATTGGACTATACAAAACGTTTTACCTTTTTTTTCTTTTGTTGGAAGAGACCATCCTGAAATTTCCCTTATGCTTATTTGTCTGAACTGTGCCTTCTGAGCCTCATACGAACATGGAAGCTTTTCGTTGTTTAATTTGTGATGTTGGGGATTGCTTGTTTCTTCCTTTTCAGAGGCGTAGGCTTGTTGAGCTCGAACTGGAGAAAGTGCAGAAGGAGCTTCCTGAGTGGAAGAAGCAACTGGATATTGCAGAAGAAGCAAAAGCAAGCATTTTGCAGGAGCTTGACAGCACCAAGAAGCTCATAGAAGAACTCAGGCTCAATCTTGAAAAAGCACAGACTGAAGAGGAGCAAGCCAAACAGGATGCCGAGCTCGCCCAACTTAGGGTCAAGGAGTTGGAGCAAGGGATCACAGAGGAGGCAAGTGTGGCCTCCAAAGCACAATTGGACGTTGCGAAAGCAAGGTATGCAAGTGCAGTTGCAGACTTGAAATCAGCAAAAGATGAGCTCGAAACTCTTCGAAAAGAATATGTTTCATTGCTCAAAGAGAGGGATGACGCTATTAAGAAAGCAGAGGAGGCTACATCTTCTTCCAAGGAGATAGAGAAGACTGTGGAAGAGCTGACCTTAGAACTTATTGCAACCAAAGAGTCCCTAGAGTCTGTGCACACATTGCATTTGGAGGTGGAGGAGCAGAGAGTGGCTGCTGCCATGGCTAGAGAGAGGGAGTCAAGGAAATGGGAAACTGAAATTAAGCAGGCAGAGAGAGAGCTAGAGAGACTCAACGAGGAGTTATTATCCTCGAAAGATATCCATTTGAAATTAGAGACCGCTACATCTCTCCTATTGAGCCTGAAAGCCGAGCTAGCTGCTTATATGCAAGCCAGGCTCAAGTCTGAAAAAGAGACTTCTGAACCGGAAGAAGGTTCAAGATCTGAACGAGAGGGGTCAGAGAAGGTTCAAACTGATGTACTTGCATCAATTGCTTCAACCCAAACAGAGCTCGAAGAAGTAAGAGGTAGTATTGAGAAGGCTAAGGACGATGTTCAGATACTGAAAGTTGCGGCCACGTCTCTCAAAGCTGATCTAGAGAGAGAAAAGGCGGCACTCACTAGCATGAGGCAAAGGGAAGGGATGGCATCAGTGGCAATTGCAGCTCTTGAAGCTGAACTGGACAGGGTGAAATCGGAGGTGGGGTTGGTGCAGGAGAGAGAAAAGCAGGCTAGAGAGAGGATGTTGGAGCTCCCAAAGGAGCTTCAGAGAACTGCTATGGAGGCAGACCAGGCCAAGGCTGAGGCCCAATTGGCTCGTGAGGGTTTGAGGAAAGTTACAGAACTGTCAGAACAGGCTAAGGCCAGCGCAAGTACAATAGAGAGCAGGCTCCAAGCCGCTATCAAGGAAATAGAGGCAGCAAAAGCTTCCGAGAAGCTTGCTTTGGCAGCCATTAAAGCGTTGCATGAGAGTGAGGCTGGTGGGGAACCCCTGAATGAGACTGGTGTAACTCTTTCTCTAGAGGAGTACTATGAGCTCAGTAAGAGAGCACACGAGGCAGAGGAGCAAGCGAACACCAGAGTGGCAATTGCTGTCTCCCAGATAGATGTAGCCAAGGAGGCAGAGTTGAAGAGTTTAGAGATATTGGAAGAAGCCAACAAGGAGTTAAGAGAGAGAAAGGAGGCACTGGAAGTGGCTTTAGAGAAGGCAGAGAGGGCAAAAGAAGGGAAGCTGGGGGTTGAGCAAGAGCTACGGAAGTGGAGGGCTGACCATGAACAACGTAGGAAAGCAAGTGATTCCCAAAATGCACAGTGGATTGGTAGCAATCAAAGGGTTGTGGAGGAGAGGAAGGAATCAAAGGCCTCATTTGAGAATTTGGGGAACGAAGCGGTATCTTTCGAACAGAAGGTTTTGACATCCGATAGCGATTTGGAGGGTATTGGGGCACCTAAATCGAAGTCGAAGAAGAAGAGGTCTTTTTTCCCTCGGATTGTCACGTTATTATCAAGAAGAAGGAACAGCAACTGAAACAAGGTGAGGGTGTGTGCTTATTGTAACGTTTACTTATTTTAATTAATTGTTACCTTTCCTTTTTGTTTTTTTATTTTTTTCTCTTGCATTTGTTGGTTGGGAAGAGATCAGAGGTGTAGTGTATTTGCCATTGAGAGTTTCAAGTTGCTTTGGCGAGTTTTATGTGCATATTTGTATGTGGTTGTGATGTATGATAACTGCTGGGCATTGTCCTCAAGTTGGGTTGTTGAAGAATAAAGCGTTAACATTTCATTCTCCACTGTATTTAGCAAATCCATGTATGGCTACTGACGCTCCTTTTACAAGTTGTTTGTCATTCAACTCCTCTTTCACTATTGTTGGATTGGGTCAAGTGGTGGTAGGGCACAAGGGCCTTCCAAAAACTCTTATTTCTTGTTACTATTCTTGTTGTAGCATGTTTTCTTACTTCCTTTTCTTTGGACCGGTAATTGTATTCTCTATGGGGCCGTTTGGATCCATGGAAAAAGATTGTCCGGAAAAAATCTACTTCTTTTAAAATGTATTTCTTGACAAAAGTATTTCTTATAAAATAAATTTCTTATGTTTGGATGGTATATGGATGCATAACATTTTCATGGCCTATTTTTTAAAAAAAAAAAAAATTAAATGTTTTTTTTATTGTATTAGTCATTATAATGTCATTTTTTTTACATTACATTTGAGATAGTTTTTCTCTCTTCAAAAAATTTTAAATAGTTTTTCTAAACTTTAATATAGAATTTCTCTCTAAAATTTTAAGATCGTTCTCTCTTTAAAACTTAAAATTTGAGGTAGTTTCTCCCTCTAAAAATCTAAAGATAGTTTTTTTAAAACTTTTATTCACTTTCTCACTCAAATATTTCATATAGTTTCTCTCTCTCACAAATTTTAAGATACTTCTCTCTGTAAAATATTAAATATAAAATCCTTTCTCTTTCTAAAAAAATTGAGATAGTTTCTATCTAAAAGTTTTTAGGTAGTTTTTTTATCTAAAATTTGATATAGTTTATGTCTCAAGTTTTAAGATACTTTCTCTATCTAAAACTTAAAATTTGAGATAGTTTCGCTCTCTAAAAATTGAGAGATAGTTTCTCTCTTTAAAACTTAAAATTTGAGATAGTTTCCCTCTTTAAAAGATTTAATATAGTTTGTCTATCTAAAAATTTTACATATATTTTGTTTTTAAAAATTTTAACGTACGTTTTCTCTTTAAAACTTCAAATTTGATATTGTTTCTGTAAACTTTGATAGAGTTTCTCTCTAAACTTTTAAGATACTCTCTCTCTCTCTACTAAAACTTAAAATTTAAGATAGTTTCTCTCTTAAAATTTTTTAGAAAATTTTAGTCCCTAAAAAATTCCATATTTATCTCTTTAAAACTTAAAATTTTAGATAGTGTTTTTCTAAAATTTTTGAGATAGTTTCTCTCTCTAAAACTTACAATTTGAGATAATTTGTTTATGCAAAATTTAATATACGTTCCCTCTTTAAAACCTTTTTAGGTACTTCTATCTAAAATTTGATGTAGTTTATCTATAATTTTAATATATTTTCTCTCTCTAAAACTTAAAATTTAGAATAGTTTCCTTCTATAAACTTTTTGAAATAGTCTGTCTAAAAACTTTTAGGCGGTTTTTCCTTTTTAATTATTAATCCCTCTAAAATTTTAGGATACTCTCTATCAAATACTTAAAATTTGAGATAGTTTCTCTCTCTATTTCGTGACGGTATTTTTGGTAGAATTAATTGTATTTTATAAAGTGAGCATCTCCGTAACGGGAAAATCTGATTGGAAATCAATTTCTGAAGATAAAAGGAAGTATACTAATTTCTTTATTTTCAGCTTGAAATGAGGAAAATAATATCTGACAGAAATATTTTTCTATCCCAAAATTTCAATCCGAAAGCAAGAAATGTGCCATCTGAATAAAAAATAGGTCCCTATATGTATAAAATACGACCATGTAATTTCAATCCGAACTGTATAAAAAATAGGTCCCTATATGTGTAAAATACAAGCATGTTTGGGAATATGTGCTGATCAAGAAACTTTTGTGAAGGTTAGGAGCTTGGTTCGTATAAATTTTTAAATTTAAAGATAAGGAGATTGGTTCAGATAAATTTTTAGATTTATCATGAACATAAATGCGATGATAGTATGGAAAAGTATCATGTATGCCCCATGGAGATGACGGATCGTACCAGACAAATGTTATGGCTCTCGCCCTGGTCTATTGCCCATGTCTTTCGAGAGGCGAATATGGTAGATCCTTTTGCTAAGAGAACATCGGTTTGATTAGACGTCAGGCCAGATTTTCGTTCTCTTCGTGATTTAGTGTAAGTTCGTTCTCTTCGTGATTTAGTGTAAGTGCCTTATTATAGAGTTATACAATAATGTGTGTTTAATTTTGAGTAGGGGGAGAAACCAAAAAAAATACCCTATATGATGGTATCTATTACATAATAAATTCACATCCAACTAAATATGTTCCCTCGGGGTATATTCTATTTGGAAAAGGAAAAAGTTTATATAAGTGCGAGGTTCTAAATGATCAAGTTAGGACATACCTCAAAAATTTCACTAAAAATAGTTGTTTTTTTATTCCCAAATATCCTTAAATTGATCATATCAACCTCAAGATGCACGGACATAAAAAAAATTAAATTAATTTTTTTTTTAAATTGTGCATCTTGTAATGCATTTTTGGACCGTCAATTTTCAAGTTTTCATAGATCGACTCGATCTACACAGTTTTTTAAGCTTTAAATTATGGGTGCGGTTTCTATAATGGTGCAACCTTAAACAATCCAATCAAGGCGCCCCTCGAAATTTTATCATAGCATGTAATTTTGACGTAAAAAAGTCTTAGTATTATTTGAAAATCTATTTTTATATTTAATTATAAAATTTTAAACTCTAAAAATGGTTAAAATCAAGTAGATATATAATGTGTTACAAAATGCACTATTTTTGGGACTCATAATCTTCTTTTTTTTCTCATATCCATACACCTCGAGGTCGAGATGATCAATCAGAGAGCTTTTCAACATTTAAACGACATTCTTCGAGGGATTTTTGAGGTGCATATGTAATTCTACAATTTAAAGTTGCAACCTTATATAAATTTTTTCCTTAAAGTATATATCTAAAGATGCAAATATATTTGGGTACAGTTTGTATCGAGCCTAGGCTCTAAACAATCAAATTAGAACCTACCTTCAAATAGTGTCAAGAAATGTGGTTTCCATATTGGAAATCTTTATGATAGCTTTAAAATATATTTTTATATTTATTTATAAAGTTTAAAGCTTTAAAAATAATGTAGATCAATATATCCATGAAAACTTGAAAATCTTGAAAATTGACCGTCCAAAAATGCATTACAAAATACACTATTTCCAAAACTTGCAGTCCTTTTTTTTTTCATGTCCATGCATCTTGATGTCGAGATGATCAATTTGAAAATATTTGAGCATCAAAACAACCTTGTCTAACAAAATTTTTGAGGCAGGCTCAAATTTGTTTGTTTAGAGCCTCAACTTAATATAAACTTTCCCAATATATTTTAACGCTATCGTTAAGATTTTTTGTAATGAAACCACATTTCTCGACATTATTTGAATGTGTGCTTTACTTTTATTGTTTAGAGCCTCGGCTCTACACAAACCGCACCCAAAATTTTGATTTTTAAACTAAGTATACATTTGTGATTTAAAATGGATTTCTAAACATAAGATCTCAAAATACTTATCAATTTTGATAGAGTAATTGCATAGTATACTATCACAAGAGCATGTTATACTAATTCCAAAACCAAAAGAGTATAGGATTTATTGTCATGTGTCATGGAAAAAGCAACAATAATTATTCTATAATTTTTACAAAGAGACCATCTTTAAATAAGAAGACAATTGACTCTTGAGTATTAATTTGTATTATATGTAGACATCCTCTCGAAAGTCTAACTAAGGGAACTCTTAAAAACCTCGATTCTGAGCACGAATGACTACATAAAATCTAGTTGACCATAGGCAACCTATACCCAATATAATTGTTTTAAAAGTGCCCAAAACTTTCTCAACTTGAAGTAGAGCCCGAGAGCTTTCCATCGGTCCAAGAAACGCTTGAATCAGATCTATAGATAAAAATTTCTAGCAAATGACAATTTAGTCCATGTGAGACCCAAGTATCAGATCGCAGGCTGGCCGGTGACACAGCCCGAAAGGCCCAGACACGGCTTGATGATGACATTTTATGATGCAATAAAAGCGTTTTTTTAACTAGATAAGGTTAAAACTTTAAGATAAATCCAAAAACTTTCGAAAAAATTCTAAAAAAAGAAAATAAAAATCACCAATTGAATCTTATAAATACCCAACTCCATAACCCAAAAGATGAACCAAACCAAAAAAATAGATCAAGAAATCCCTTATAAATTCTCAAAATTGAAAAAAAAGCCCAAAAAAACCCAAACATAATAAAAATTCTTAGAAAATTTCAAAAAAATTAGGAAGAATCCCAAAAAATCATAGAAAATTTTAGAATTCATATTCAACATTTGGAGATCCCAAAACCCTTAGAAAACTAATGAAATTCTTCTCCAATCTCAAGAAATCCCTAAGAAAAGCTTAGGTAGACTTTGCCTAAAATTTCCAGCTTTTCCACATGCCTTAGGAATCCTAGATCTAGGTCAAATAATCTTAGATCTATCAATTCCAACAAGAAAATACATCAAAAAAAAGAGATGGTGACATAAATCAGAAGAGCAGCCTGATCTAAGCTTGAAACTCTGGGTTTCGGGTCCTTAGAGGTAAGTATTTATTTCTTTGCTTAATTTAGTTTGCGTTTCTTCATTTAATTCTCTTATTTATTTTTATTTTTGGAAGTTAATTTATTGTTCGATTTAACTAAATTTAGAAGTGTTTTTTTATATCAAAATATGGATTTGGAGCTGGTGTTACCAGTAGACCAGGAAAACGACTGGATTTGTATAGATCTGGGATTTTTCGGAGCCCATAATTCAAACGACCTCACTCTCTCTACATTTTTAAAACTTAACTTAGCTTTTGTAAGATTTGAATAGATCTCATTTCAGAGATCGGCACAGATTGGAGTGTAAGCAGTTTGGCGCCCACCGTGGGGCACCTTGAGCTTTAGATCTATATTTTAAACTTTAAAAAAATATCTTTTTTTTTCTCGTATTTCTTTTTCAGCAAAAAAAGAAATAAAATTAAGGTAGATTTAATAAGATTTTCTTTT